AAGCTCAGTCGGGAGCAATGAGGGTGAACACGACGTTCAGGCCATGCAGTGCCTCCCGCGGTTCGTGGGCAAAGCCGTCAAAGACGCGTGCAGTGGGGGGCTCCCGACGCGACATAAGTTACTCTGCCAGGGTACAGTCTTGAGGGCACCGCCGATGTGGGAGAGTGAAGAGTTCGTCAGATTCTTCTCCAGCCTGGGACGGCATTTAACCGACTCCTGGCTCCCAAGGTAGGCGCTCAGTCTGGCGTCTGGGTCCTTTGCCCAGCCAAGATGGCGATGATCAGCACCCTCCGCCAGTGCTCGCCTAGCCGTCTGCCTTTGATCCGGTCGACTGGAGCTCAGGGCAAGTTTCCCAACACCTGCCTGGAGACTCTCCGCAGCACAATGCGAAGGGTGTCACGAGTGGCCAACCTGCTAAGATGCTCCCAGCGAATGACAAAAGTGAAAGGCCGAAGGCCTATCACCAGGTTTGCAAAGACGGACCTTGGGTCGGCCCAGCATCACCAGAATTTGAAGCACTCAGACAATGCCGGCGAGGGGCAGCATGTCTCGATGCGCCGAACGCTTCATGGCTGCAGCCTCCAGCCATGTGCTCGTGCGGTGGACGATGCGCTGAACGCCGCAGGTCATCTTGGGCCGCAGGCGGTGAACACCGCGCACGCGTACCAGGCCAAAGTGACCTCTGCTTGTACATGTGATCATACACATGTGTGAAGCATCCTCAAGACTGAAGAGGTGAGGCTCAGAAAATGGCCAGCACCCAGTTTCCCCAAAGCCTCAGAGCAGGGAAATCATGCAATGAAACCTTGAAAAGCTAAGCCCTTTGGTCCGCTTCAGTGTGCGGCGCCCGCTCGATAACGCTGCCTGGACCGGAGCAGGGCAGGGTGCCAGTCGGCGATACGGTGATTTGTGAGGACCAGAAGTTTCTGTCTTTTTGTGGATCTGCCGATCCCTTCGTACTCCTGAAGCACTCAGGGTTCCTCTTGCCCTGTGGGAACCAAAGCGGACTGAGCTTGAAACGGCAAAAACTAATTTCGCAGACTACCGGGATAGACGTGCGATGCGAGATTGAGGACAAGGAGCCCTGAAATCCGCCTGTTGCTTGGAAGCTTGCTGCCGAAACTGAAACGGCCACGCAGAGAAGTAGAAGGAACCAAACCTCACCCGTTATTGGCAAACCTGTCAACAAATAGACGAAACAACTAAACAAAGAAGGTTCAGCCATAATTGCCAGAAGTATGTTGAAGGTATGCACGTATGTATGTACGCATGTCAGTACTAAACAAACACATACGTGCCTGCATGCATGCACACATACGTGCATGCCTGCATCCACATATACATGCAGACATAGTTACGCATACATATACACATCCATACACACATACACATACATATGCATATACATGAACATATGCATACAGAGAGAGAGAGAGAGAGAGAGAGAGAGAGAGAGAGAGAGAGAGAGACAGAGAGAGAGAGAGAGAGAGAGTGAGCGCGAGCGAGAGAGAGAGAGAGAGATGAGTATATATACATACATAAATATAAACATAATTTTACATATCAATATAAATATGCATCCGCGAATGCCTCTACATCCTGAATCCGGAATAGTGGCGGGGGGGTCCACCTCCCTGATCATCTTTAGTTCTTTGGGGGAGCCGGGGTAGTACGGTAGTAGTATAGTAGCAGTACAATAGTAGTATAGTAGTATACTATATTAGGTACTATAGAAGCCATACAAAATCGGAGTTTGGAGCTGGGGGCTGAAGCTCTGAAGTCTCTAGGTTTCTATATAGAAACCTTAAGGTTTCGGGTTAGGTGTCCGCGGGAGGCCCGCGGCAGGCCGCTGCACTATTGAGGGGGCTTTTCATCCGGACTATTGTGGGCTGCGAAGCGATCATATGCTACCCCCTTAGAAAAGAAAAGTTGATGGGGATGTTTTGTTTTTATAAGGGGTGCATATTAGAAACCCAGAGATCTGGCAGCCCTGCAAAACCAGAGTTTGGAGCTCTGGGCTGAATCGCTGAAGGCCGGAGGCTCTAGGTTTCGAAAAGGGGGCCTTATGGCTTTACAGTAGGGGCTTCAGTTTGTAGTAGGAGTGTCCATTTTCCTAAACCTTAGAAAATAAAAGCGGGACGGGAAGTTACGACTATTCAGGGGGAGTTCATTATTACGTGCAGGCCGAGTTCAACCCTATGGCAGCGGCTTCTCCACTTTTGAGTTCCGGGCCGAGTTTATCTCGATTGAGGGGGCCTTTACTAATCAGGAGATCATATTATGTATGTATGTACGTATGCAGGTATGTATGTCAGGAGGTACGTATGCGCGTACAGCATGTATGCATGTATGTATGTATGCACTTCTATATATACACTATTATAAAAAAAACTATATACACACATGCAGCAGGCATACATGCCTACATCATCTGTTGTTATATACACATACATAATATAGGTATATGCACACATGTACGCATACATGTATATGGACACATACACATGCACTTGCATGTACACATGCAAACGACATGCAGATCAAAATGCATATGCAGTCGCATATGCATGTATGCGTGCGTGCGCGCGTGTGTGTGTGTGTGTGTGTATGTACTGATTGCATGCTGTGCATGCACAGCACGTACGTATAATGTCACCCAAAGTTACAACTGGAATGGTGACTGCTAGATTGAACATGTTTGAAGTACATCGCGCCTCCCAATGTCCAGCCCGCATCTCGCAAGGCCATGGCAGGGGGTCCAAGCTACGAGTACATCCACTTGGATTTCGGGTCATGTTTACGTCTTGGGGATTCGCATTTCTGGGCTCCGGTTGAGAGCCCCGTTTCCTTCTGCTAGAGCTTCGGGTTCGGAAGTCTTGTCTCGTTGATGTCGTCATGTTTGGCAGACTCAGAGGCGGGCGCTCTAACACAACCACATCTCACGTTAAGCCACTCCGTCGAAACCATGTCCAACGTGACTTTATTGCTGGACTCGCGGCCATCGGTTTGAACTGCTTGTCTGAAGACAGCTGCTACGACTCTGAGGGACGGCGTTGGAAGGGCCCTCGGGCCATGCACACAAGAAGTCATGCCAGCAGCGAGCATGAGCGACATTAGGGCTGCCAAGAAGGGCGTGACGGGACCCCAGCCGGCGAGCATCAGGAGCATCAGGCCGAAACAAAACTACATAATGTTAACCTACTTTTTATAAATCCCCCCTCAATTACAAAACCCCACCCCCGGAACTCAATTATAAACCCCCCCTCAATTACAAAACCTGCCGGCCCAAATCCCCGAAATTAGACACTTCTTGTTCTGTGTTGTTGTGTGTTGGTTGAGAGAGAGAGAGAAAGGGAGAGAAACTGCAGCTACTACGAGAGCTTGAGGTCTGCAGAGAGAGAGAAACTGCAGCTACTACGAGAGCTTGGGGTCTGCAGAGAGAGAGAAACTGCAGCTACTGCGAGAGCTTGAGGTCTGCAGAGAGAGAGAAACTGCAGCTACTGCGAGAGCTTGAGGTCTGCAGCGAGAGAGAAACTGCAGCTACTAAGACTGCGTGAGGTCTGCAGAAAGAGAGAAACTGCAGCTACTCAGATTTAGAGGGCCTCAGAAACCATGCCTTCCTTAATAAAGTTCCTTATTCCCGGGGCCAAAAATCAATCCATCCTGATGGAGTACTAACAAAGGCCGTTCTTCGCAATTATAAACACCCCCTCAATTATAAACTCCCGCCGGGGAGGGCCTTTTGGTGGTGCCCTTAAAGGCCTTGAAAAGGACAGCAAGCTTTACAGGCCAAGCCCTTCATTGGGAAAGCTCTGGATTCAAAAGAAAAGCAAGCTGTGGGAGCAGAGTCGTTGATTTGAATAACCTACCTATAGCAGCCATGCCCTTGCTTGCGAAAGCTTCGGCTTTCAAAGGAGGAGGGAGAGGACCGCAGGATCATTGTTCATTGCTGGTACTTTACCAAACGTGCCCTGTCCGCCGGAAGAGCTGGACTCAGAGGCTGTGCTACTACTGTACTGCTACTGTACTATACTACTGTACTACGACGACCGACCCCCCCCTCAATAATCAATCCCCCCCACCCCGGGCGCCAAATCAATCAACGGGGGGGGGGGGGGGTTATTAATAGGAGGTTGACATTAAGCCTCAAAAAAAGACTCTGCGAGGCCATGGTGGGCGGTCGTCCCGGACTGAGTGCATGTTAGGGATTGGGTCTGATGATTGTTTACTGATGATCTCTGGGACGCAGGATTTCAGATAGCTATGGGGAGTTGCAGCTGCTTCCCTTTGTCGCGGATTTGGCTCTGCGAACTTCAGCGGCGCTCCAGGGAGCTCGTGTAGAAGTGGCAACGCATCTGAGCTGAGGATCGCACTGGCGCAACACGTCACACTGCAAATCTCAGCTCATGGAAACTTGGGAGCCCGAACCTCCTCAGGCTGCTGGATGCTCATCCACACTGTTGTCGTGCTAGCTCGGAACACTTTTGCACCGAGTCACTTCCACGCGCTCGGGCACGCAGGACTTCCGATGAATCCTACCGGCGTCGGCTTTTCTGTCATGTCGCTGAAAACTGCATACGAAGAATGCATTGCACTGTCGAGTTGCTTGGTGAACCTTCCTGCGCAAACGCTCTATCAGGGAGAAAATGAACGTGCAAACTCCGAGATCCGAAGATCAGGACAACTGTCAAAGACAGGTGTTCGTCAGATTCCCCCAAGGAAGGCAAGGCCGCACGACCTTCCGACACGGCGCCATTCCGCATAGCCGTTCAGACACACTAGACAGAGCCGGACAGGAAATCGATCTGCTTGTTGACAGCTAAATTTCAAAGAGCAATTTGGGTACGAAGCTTGTTGTTACATATATGCAGTCTTGTATGATTGGAGTTGCCAAGGCATGATGGTGAGTGCACAGCAGATTGCAATACCCGTGCATCGGCAAGCTGGGTTTTGGCCATACATCAATCACGGTAAGAGGTGCCGAAGTGCTCATTGACGCTTCAGCCCATCGAGTGCTGACCTCGGAGAGCTTTGACGCAGTGACTCTTGGAATCTGGAGACTTGCAATGCGCAAAGCCCTTCGATGCACCCGGGAAATGCAAGGCTTTGCACCAAACCTCACTCTGAAAATCCTCCACGCCCTTTGCGTCTGAGCAAAACGCGGGGACCGCAGCAGAAGACTTCGCTGACCTGAACAGCACTGGTCCGCAGCCAATGCAGCCCTTCAGCCAGCAGGTGAGGCCCGAACCCAAGTCCACCAGGGAAAGTTGATTTCCCGCAGCTTCTGTTCTTCCTCAGCTTGAGCTCAGGATAACTTAAGTTTGGTAACCGGCCAAACAAGCCCAGAGGCCTTTCGCTTCTGCTCCCGGTATAAAGCAGCGTTAGCCAGCATGCGCTCTGGATCCATCTGCCACGGCACCGGGTTATGGACATTCGTGCTAAGGTCAAAGATCCGGGATATCGACAGCCCCCCAAACGGTGCGGTAACACTCTGGTCTGGGATTCTTAGTTGTCTTAGTTGTAGTTACAGAGGAATTGCCCAGCTCGAGCCCCCGGCCCCGGGCCGACAGATGTCGCCGGGCTCGATTTCGTGATCTCCGAATGGTCTTGGAATGGTCCTGTGTGCGTGCTCGATACGGTGTTCTGGAGCGGTCCTGAGAGTGGTCTCAATTGGTCCTGGAGTGGCCCTTTGTGGTCTTGGGAATTTTTTGGGAGCAGTCTTCGAACGGTTGTTGCAAGTGGTCTTCGAGTGATGTTGTCGTTGTGTGGTCTTGGAGTTCTTGCATGCTCTTGGGTCGTGCACTGTTTGGGGTCTACGCCGTCATGATGTTGGAAGGGGCAGTGAGGAGTCAGCACCTTGATGAAAACATCCTATGCTCTCATGATTCGAGCACCACCCTCACGCTAGGTCTGATGATAACCTCGGAAGGGGTCTGGCACCGACGGATTTTTTGCGCACGCCTGTGGCTGGAATGCAGGCAGGCAAACCTAATCAAGGGGGCGCCCGGCCCAAATCCGCCGATTCCGGCAGTCCAGGAGAGTTTCCATGTCCTACCCTTGGGTTTGGGTTCTGACACCTTTGCTGCCAACTGCGTGACCGGCACTGGACGAGAATGGCGGCAGGCAAGTTTATGCAATGAGGCCTCCTAGGCCCCAATGAACTATACAGCAGCATGCATCTTGCCAGAGCCTACAACTACTGCCTAGGTTTGTCTGCACACTTGCAACAGGAAGGATTCACATGCTTGTTTGGCCGAGTGATTGACAAACGACACACGTTTGAGATCCCGCAGATGCCTCCTTCAAAATGATGTGTTGTCCACCCTGAAGTTCCTGCCACAAACGCATGCATTCACATCGCACCTTCTTTGCACATTATCCCAAAGCTGCTGTCCTTTGGCAAATGGGCCACGAATTTGGCCACCTGACAGGCACAGGATGGGCATCAAAGTCCTCCCAAACCCCGACACGGCTGCACATGCTGCTCGACATCAATTGGCTGGATGATCGGCCCGGCCCATTACCCCACACACATCATATGTCCGTTGCTGGTGGAAGGTATCGGGACCCCAGCACATAGACGACTGTGTCCTTTGTTCCACTTGGGCTGTCTACTGCGGCATCCAATCCGTTCTGAACTTTGCCACCCTGGGAGCGAGTCCTCAAAAGCCCGTCTGCACTGCATCGATCGCGACCCCGCTCTTGTCGAGCATCATGTTCTAGTTTGCTGCAATGCTTGGGATTTCGAGCGCAGCCATTGAAGCACCGGTTTTCGGGACCCCGAGAACATGGAGATCGGATCCGAAAACACACTGCGCGGCATGTCCTCTTGCAGCGATGCTGTTTTTGTTCAAGCTATGGGTCTTCCACACCAAGCCAAAGCTTGCACTTAGTATTATGTTAGGGTACCCAAAAAGGGACCACCCACACGTCTTAAAAACCAGGCCGAGCCAAACACGAGGCTGATTCTGCAGACCTATGCGCCTAGACCGAGGCCAGAGGCCTGCAGTAGGGGTAAGCCTAGGCCTAGAGCCGTTTTAAGCCCTGAGCCCGAAGCCGTATCCTAGCCGTGGCCTTGAGCCTAAACAGCCCTAAACGTTATCTACTCCGACATGTGTCATAAACATGGGTTTCAACACATTCGGGATCTGTGGCATTCCGGGACCTGTTCAAACATGTGCATTCGGGATTTGTATCGTGCCGGGTACTGCTTGAACAAGTTCTGCAACATGGGTTTAATTAGACACGTTCGGGATGTGTGTGTGTGTGTGTGTGTCATGCAGGGAACTGTTTGAACATGCGTTTAAACATGCGTTCAAGCACATTCGAGATGTGCGGCACTCACGGAACTGTTTAAACATGTGTTTAAACGTAGGTTTAAACACATTCGGGATGCGTGTCATGCAGGGAACTGTCTAAACATGTGCTTACAAACGGGTTTAAGCACATTAGGGCGTGGCACTCAGCAAACTGTTTAAACATGTGTTTAAACGTGAGGTTAAACGCGAGTTTAAACGTTTAAGCGCGCTCGGGATGTGCGGAACTCATGGAACTGTTTAAAACATGTGTTTAAACGAAGTTTAAAGACATTCGGGATGTGCGCCACTCATGGAACTGTTTCAACATGTGTTTAAACGCGGGTTTAGAGGCTTGTACACATTCGGGATGTGCGACACCCATGGCTGTCTAAGCATGTGTTTAAACATGGGTTAAACACATGCTGCGGGATGTGTGTCATGCAAGGAACTGTTTAAACATGTGCTTAAACATGGCATTACTCTGGGAGTTGGCACAAGTGTGTTTAAACATGTTTAAACGCCCTTCTTCTCAATGCGACGACACTGTTCCAACACATAAACAAACACCGACTCACTGGCCCCACATGTTCAAATGTTCAAATATACTTAAGTTTAAACTTAAACGTGCTTAGAACAACCCTGCTGCCAGGTCCAGGACCCCAAGTGACTTGAGACAGCAACAACGGCGGGAATGTGAGACGCCACTCGCAGGTAAGAGGTGGGTGACAAGCAACATGCCCGCGCCAGGACTGCCGAAAAAATCATCAAGATACAGTGCTTCTTCAGTGTAGTGCCCCTTTCTACACATCCAGCACCCTGTGACCGACATGTCAGACAGAAACAGGAGCGTAGCAAGCACAAACCGGGCTTCAATCACGCATCATCGGTGCTGCAACCGCAATGCCTATCAGTTCGGCCACTGCACGTGGGGCCCCATCTCAGAAACCTCGGTCTGTCGCACGCCCCAGCCTGCTCCGGGGATGCCAACTGTGGCGGATCCTTGTGGCTTGCACAGGAGCGCACAACAACGCAAAGAATGTTCAACAAAACCCCTTGTTCTTGTACGGTTTTTGTCGGTGCCAACATTTACTCACCCTGCCATCAAGCTTCGCCGACGGGGTATGTGGCCTGCCAAGCAAGTTTCAAAGGCAAAGACAGCAGCCACATTCCAGCGAGCGGCATTCCTACCACAAGCCTGCAAATTCGGCATCTTCAGCTCGACCAGGTTGGGCCTGAACAACGCATCGTAACAAAGCAAGCACACAAAAGAAACTACAGTGTCTCATTTCACGGCACGGCTCCCTGCCTTTCCATAATCGTTTCTGTACTTGGCCAGTTCAACTCTCAAACACCGCGCTGCGAGGTGACAGCTTCAGCCGACGCTGCGGAGACCTCAACCTATCACAGGACCCCTCAACATGCCTGCAGTGGGCATCGGGGCGCTTACAACGTCAAGAAGGTCTCAAGCGTAGCACGCATTTTGCATTCACAACGCTGCCCCGGTCTTGCGAATGCTTTCGAATGCTTCTTCCCCGAATTCAGCTCAAACGCCTACGGCGTGTTTCTTGCGTTCAGCATTCGTCGCATCGTACACACCCAGAAGTCGCGGAAACACCTCTCAGGGAGGCAGCTCGCGGTCCAGCTGCAAGGAGTCCTCGGGAGACCTTCCAGTCCTCAAACGGTTGGATGATCACCTCACACGGGCCAGACGGCCAGAACACGATCGAATATGTAATGCGCAGTCAACTTCCTGATCCCATGCGCGTCACCCATCAAGGGTCAGGCAGAACCGTCCACCATGATGCAAAGAGCCGATTTTTCTGGCAGGTATCCAAGCAAGTACCTCGAGAAGCGATGCTTGCCTAACTCGAAAATCGTATTCTGCAATGAGCAATGAGCAGCGTGCGGAATATTGAGAGCTTCTCCCTGTAGTGAGACATAGACCTTGCATTGCAAGAGTTGTTCAACCTTGTAGGTGACATGTTCTCACAATCCTCCACGCGAGCATGCGGCAAACATTTCATCCGCGAAGGTCGCGGACCACACCTCATGAAAATCAGTGATAGTCTGAGAGTCCGCACCATGGCATCGCATGCCCAAGAGCACGCCTTCGTCTCCACCTTGTGCAACGGGATGAACTCAATGTCTGCCTGGTAACACGTCGACTCGATGGGGTTCTTCCAAGCTTGCCCAATCCAGGGCATTCCAGGGTCCAGGCATCATCACTATGTGACGCAGTGCATCTCACAAAAACCGCGAACGCACTAGCGTCACTAGCAAGCTGCACCACAAAATCTCAGGATGCGGCTGAAATCGAACAAAATGTCCCTGATAAGCCAAAACCGCATATTGCCCACTTGCTGACCTGTCAGTTTCGCAGGGCGCAACCCTGCACCCACACTCAACTGTGACTCAGTTCTGATCTGGGGCAATGGGCCAGTAAACATTGTGCACTGAACCGTGGACTTGCAAAAGTGGGCAGGACCTGTAGAAGGCTCACAAGAACAGGGTGCAGGAGTTCTAGCTGTGTAGCACATCCGAGGTCCTGAACTCTGCTGATGCCGTCCAGCCGTAAAAGCGAAGCGTTTCGATGCCCTCCACGATGCCACTGATCCCCAGCAAGCGGCCTGGCTTACAGGGACGCTTCACGGCACCTGCCGCGATCTGCTCGAGCCCAATTAACATCTCCCCCCAGCAGTCTTCCAAGTGAAACGAACTCACACACGCACCGGACCGCACCGCGCCGGACCGCGCCGCACCGAACCGCACCGCACACATTCTAACATGCCTGAGAGGTCCCATAAACATGGATGAGGTATCCCCGGGCTCACGCACTCAATGAGAACCGGCTGCAACAGAAGTCCCGATGAAGAACGTTTCGAATCGGATATCGAGCATCGAGAACCATCCCTGTCTGGCCTCCGTGGATGGAGTGAACCTCGAACGGAAGGTGGAGCTCGGTGGCTCTACCTGTTGTGTGTCTGCATGCTCCGAAGGCTCGCATCAGCAAATTTACCGTTCGCCTTGGCTGCTGTGGATGAAGAGGGTGCCGGCCCACACCGCATAGGCGTCATCAGGACCCCAAGCGATCTGTGACAAGGGTAGTGTCAGCAAGACACCAATTGATTCTAGATTCTAGCATCAGTCTATTGCAGATGCCTCGCCTCCTGCGCGGCTCCACGTGCATCCAGCTGAGGGGCTGCCTGGTCTGACTCTTCATCAGCAAAGATGTTACAAGGAAGAGCAACGTTAAAGCCACACAAGCCGCCTCAGCTGTGTAGATCAAGTATTCGCCATCCCCGCAGACTGCAAAAAGATGCCCTTGACAACAGCAAGAGTCTGCATGAAAACAAAGCTCCGACGAGTAAGTCCAAAACAGAACTTGCAAGACCATGCTGGTGCCTTGAGGACTGTGCGCCAGGGTTCGCGGGATCACGGGCAGGACACCCATGTCCTACAATCGAAACTGGTCCGCAAACCCTAACACATCATCCACAAGTCCTGATGCGCGCATGGAGCCACCCTTCGAGTTCCGTACAGCTGGCTGTGCCTCGCCTGGGGATGTCAAAAGATGGCAACACCGGACACGATGAACACCCCGTGAAGTGTTGAGCGAGCGGGGGGGGCTCACCCAAATGAGCTGCATGCCGGAGTCCAGCGACATGGAAGCGGGAAGTTCCTGGTCATACTGCACAAGGTTTGGCAACATTCCCGTTTGCTAAGCGTTTTTTCCATCATTCACGTGATGGGACAGCAAAACATGCTTGAGGGGTCCATCCCCATCTGGATTGTTGGGCTTGTCTGTCCAAGGCTCCGGCGAGTACGGAACTGTGCTGCTTGTGAAGCCTTCTTTGTTCGCACGCCACGTGTGTTCTTGAATGGTTTGGGCCAATTGTTGCAAGATAGGCTTCTAGAAGCCCGCTTCCAAGAGATGTACTCAGCAGTTGAAGTGCACAATTGCCAACCCGCAAAGCAATCCGTCGCCCTTCACCAGTCCGACAGTCCGACCCTCATGATGATAATCGCATATTCGCCCTCAGAAACCGATTATCGGGAGCAGCGACGTTGCCACAAGCAGCTGAACTAAGCTGAGACTTAAAACACCACAGCGCGCCTGGGGTACCACCTGCACCACTTCCAAGTGGTTGGAGGAGTGGATTAAAGCGACCTAAGCCATCAATGGCCGCCCGGCTACACAAAGGCAGGAGTGGTACCGAGGCCACTGCCACATCTTTTGAAACGGAAATGGTCACGTGACACGTGGCCGCGGCTTCCGGAGACTGCGAGGGACGCCTTCGCACTTGCACAAATAGCAATAGCAGGCACAGCAGAAACCTCAGGGGTGTGACTTCAAGCGCGAGGCTCTCCGGGGGACACAAGGTTTTTCCACTCCTCTTGGCATTCCTTCACTCCCTTGGCGAGGTCTCTGTGCTGTATCCAGAATGGTGGGCTGCCTGAATGAAACGCCTTGAACGGAAGCGACGCTGGTAGCAATGGGAAATGACATGCGCAACATGAATTTGCACCACACATGCCAACTACAATGCTGTAGCTACTGTCTTTGCAAAATGGCGCTTTGGCAATTGGCTTGATTTCCTGCGGCGCCCACCACGATTTGGGAAGATGCCATTGACGCGTTCTTTCTGGAAAGGTATCGAGGTCTCGACATCACCAGCATCTAACAGTCTGACGTCTCTTTGATGGACGAGGCGAAACCAAAGCAGATTGACCAACCGTACACACGTGTACCTGGAGCAGGACAGCCTTGGGGCGCCCAGCTTGGTGATAGAAGCGGACCGCGCCATCCTCCATACAAAATGGCAGCGGTCAAGGAAAAGGTATTGCGGCAACCTGCAGTGCGGTATGGTATTCAGCACGGTCCTCGGGCCCCGTGAGCACCATCCCACAGCAAAAGTGCGCCTAGGTGAACGGTTCTCAGTCACAGCTTTCCGGAGCTTGACGCCAACATGCTGCAAGCCGGGGTGCGCAGCGCACCTTGCTGCCATGCTCTATGACCTGCGTGCACCTGCCAAGCAATGTATTGCTCGGGTTCTTAAACAACTTTGAATGTCTTCGGCTGTCAACTTTTCCGTATGTCCCTACAATCGAGACCCGACCATCGTCAATGCCTTAAGCGCTCATGAGATCGCGGAGCTTGATGACCAGCTGCTCTCACGAAACATCGTAGAATCGGTTGAACTGGAATAGGAACCAGTTTATGGAGAACATCAATCACCGCAGTCCGAAATAATGCTTCAAGCACGGACTGGCACCAGAGATTTTCATCCCAGATCCTCACGTCATCGGACCTGAGTCAAGAAGTATTGCAAGAACCTTGCATGAGCTGGACGAATGAGGATACCAGACGCAACAAGATTACACCACCGTCTGAATGTTCAAGCAGAATAGGTGCTTGAACAGGCAGCTCTTAACACGGTAGGGCCAAAACCCGAATCCGCTAACATTGCACGTGCATCACGTGGGCAAGTCACTGCAGCCCTCTGGCGTGACATTATCAAAACACCACAACTGGGCTACGGCAGGACCACATTATCTATCTGGATTCGGAGAGTGGCGACTTGCATTCCTTGCATTGCCGTACATGATTCTGAACACGTGGACGGTGCCCTGTTTGCATCTGGGACCTGTTGATGTATGTGGAACGTGGCTGGCGCTGTGCCGCAGGACCTGCAGGAATGATTTCTTAACCGCGTTGAAAACCAGACATCTTAACCACGCACATATTTTTCCTAACCGCGCGCAGGTCTTGGTCTTTAACCGCGCGCATCCGTCCAGCGACGAAGGAGCCAGACTCCTTCGTTCGAAAACGGTTCCGGGTTTAGGGCCAGACAACGGGCACGCAAAGCAAACCGTCCTGATGACGAGTCCCAACTGCCCCTTGTCGTCAAAGATCTTCTCGTCATAAGTCCTGGCGTCACACAATCCAACCGGCAATGTGTGTTATGGCTCCAACCGCAGGTCTGGTTTTTCAAAGCTGCAGGCAGCTGTGTGCGCCAAGTCACTGCAGGATTACAGTGGACAAGGCTTGGTTGACCGAGACGACACGTTTTCTCTCCATCTCTTGATTATTTACCCTTAGTGTACATATATGTACGCACGCCATCCCAATAGATAGAATCCATGCGCAACAAAAATCGACTCGGGATCTCGACGTCTCTACGAAGCAGAATGCCTTTGGCAGTCTGCAGGGAACCACAGTCCCACTGGTCTCTAAGAATCTAGAAGTCAGAGCGCCTTTGGAATCAAGAAGGGAGTTCCACAATCCAATTGGTGGGATCCCATCGCTCCCCGCTCTTCTTGCGGATGTGCAACCGCTGGCTTTTGGCCAAACTCTCCAGGGCCTCCCTTATGTGTCTGTGCGCATCTTTTACGGTGCGGATGCCAGCTGCCACAGGCGCGTCCTGTATCCACGATGACACAGGCAAGGATTTTGTTTTCCTGGCCAAAGATAACTTCTGCAGGAACGAGAAGATGTCGGAGGCTTTCGCAAGCTTCAGGGATGGATTTTGGTTGTCCAGTGTCTGAGAGCTGCAAACTGGAAGAGACGCCGCCTGAGACACGGCCTCAGAGATGCTCCTGTCTGATTTGAGAGGGGCGCCTTTCAGGCATGTTTCGACACGAAAGTCTTTCTCACTAGTGTCGTGAAGCACCACGAAATCTAATGCTTCATGTTGTCTGACATTCGGGGCGACGTTGGCGCGATCGGTTCGTTGCTTGTAGAAGCGGAGGCCTGCTTGCGGCTCGAGGCCTTGACGCCAGGTCACGCCCATGAAGAAATCCTGGCTGCCACACATGTCGTGGATCCTCCTCATTTCTATCACTTCCTCCACAGTAGGCTCAGACGAGGTTCCTGCATGATGCGAGAAAATGACACCCATGAGGCTCAGATCGCCGCGCTGGAACAGGAGATCAGTGACTGCCTGTTGGCCCGCTGCAGAAAGACTTGCGCCGTCCTGCGCGCTCAGGTGATCCACCATCAGCAACATGTGAAGTCTTCTGGGATGCTCTCGCGTGGAAAGCATCAATGTCTCAGAAACCTTCTTGATGGAGTCTGAAGATGCCGTGAAACGGAGGTTCAACAGTTGCCGAAGTTTGCCAGGCACGACCAACGGGGCAGGGAAACTCCCATCGGGAGCCATTTCTTGCACGTCCTCATCTTCGCTCTCTTCATCAGGATCTTGCCATCCCCGAGATTTTCTTGCGCGCCCTCGGCCTCTGCCCCGCCCTTTGGCCGCTTCCTTTGGATTTGGAGCCTGGACTCTCGGAACAGGCTCTGGCACAAGATTTGTTCTTTTGTATCGGTGAACAGCCAGAACATGCCCACATTCGCTTGTGTCTCGATACAGGTTGCAGCAGCAGCAGATTTTGCCGTCCCGATGGCAAACAACGACCGTGAGGTCCTGAGAAATGCAGATCATAAATCGGCATACACTACTAAAGCTGCAGGTTTACAGACTCAAAGCACAGTCAAGCTAAGGCTCCCAGAAGAAGTGTGCGGCACGGGCGAAATCCATGCGGTGCTGACCGTCCTCTGCAGGGACCAAAATTCGGGCCGCTTTCCAAGCCTCTTGGAGAGATTCCAGACTTTGGGCGCTCATCATCCGGGCTAGATCTGCAGCATCCTGCGCATGGACGGTGTAGCGGGAGGATGCACACTTGTACCTGCGTAAGACGTGGTATTTCTGCCCGACCGCGATGATGCTTGACCCTGTTTTCTGATGAGCCTTCAAGATCGAAGAGGCGCTAGGGTGCCAAACCTGTTCTCCGAGAGATTTCCAAATGCGGCCCTCCCCATCCAAGAGATCAGGGGAGGTCTGATGAACGGGTATCGGGGTGAACGCCAGCTGTTGACTTGGGCCCAGGAAGCCGTGGATAGACGTCGGGGCAGTGGTGGTGAGCTTGTATCGCTGCTGCAACTTTTGCAGTAGCTCTATCTCGGACAAAGGTTTGGAGTCCACGACATGCTTCAAAATGTTGATGGCTTCTTCTGCCGTGTTCTGAGAAGGTCCATGACCAGCGCGGGCATGGCTCCCATCGCCGCAGTAAAAGAGTGGGATGTGCAGCTCTTGACCACTCACCTGCTTCGCTCTGCAACAGTGCGTCAGAAAGTACTTGCGGAAGCTTTCCGAAAGACCATGCAACATATGCTGCACAAAGAGCGCGGCCATGCCCATCGTTGGTAGGAAGGCACACATTCGGCAGTATTTACAAAACGCAAATGCATTCCTGACCATCCAAATTTCGCAGATTTGAAGTGGAGATTGTGCTGTTGTCTAGAATAAAACATGTTCCAAAAGGCCAGGACTCATAGTCAAATCGTCGCGGCTTTTGATGTGTCTGTACAAATGCTCCAGGTCACAAACCACGTGGTCGCAGAACCTCGCGGGTCCCAACGGCAAAACGCGCGTTTTCCCTTGGCGAGCTAATTGCTTCTAAGCGGCTCCGTGTACTCACGCTGCAACGCGCGAGTCCAATCACCGTGCACGGTGTGGAAGATCGGCACGGGAACCTGCAGCCCTTTCCACGAGCAGGCATTGACGATGACGGACTTTGCCCAACTGAACCCAAGCCTGTAATGATCACTGTCTTCGAATGGGTTCATGACGAAGGATATCGGGATCAGAGTCTTCCTCCATCTCCTGTCTTCTTGCCTGGAGCTCCCATCTGAATCTCTGTGGTACAGCTGTGCGCCGATGACGCAAATACGGGAATTGGACCAGCTTACCTGTCCAGAGTAATCAGCTTGGCCTATGTTCAACAATCGTCGCGAAGGGCCTGGGAATGTGTGTCTCAAACCATACACACACACACACAAGCTTAATGCGCACACTCCAGGGCAGACATGGGGAGAGTTCAATCCTAAGCCCGCTGCAGTCCTTGCAGTGCGTCCAACACTCTGTGACAGAGCCCCTGCTTGCGAAGCCACTTCAAGGTGACAAAATTCCAAAGCAACGTGTCCTTGACCAACATTTCTGACTGATCGCGCACTGCTCGGACAATGCTTCGCAGATCGGTCTCTGCAACCTGCTTTCGATTATCAAGTTGTCTTGGCTGGCAGGTGACAACAGAGATGTAACAGCACTTGTCTGACTGGCTGTACCATCTGTAACATGACGGCACTTGTCCAGCGCCGATTATAGTGTTACATCACGGCACTTGTGCAGCGCCGAAACATGACGGCACTTGTGCAGCGCCGATAAACGCATTATGACTGCAGTAGTGCGTGTGTGGTGTGTCCACGTCATGTATAGATAATATAATAATATAAATAATTGTGCGCGATGGAACTTCGCTACTTTTGAGGCCGTGCACCTCCGCTTTGACGCCAGCCAACTTGTCGAGTTTTGCGATAACCCTGTCCTCAATTACATCAGATCAACGCATACAAAAAAACATGTATTGAGACGCCGACTCCCATGATCGGCTCCATCCGCGACCATGCCGCTGACAAATCACGATTTTGCAGGTACATCGCCACTCCGCGTTCCTGCAAAAACATGCTTTGGGGTTTGGGGGGTTAGGGATTCCGGGATTTATAGGTTTATGAATTGGAAACAATGTCCTGTGAATCAGCTTCCCGCTGCAAAATGCAGCGCATCATCCAATCCACATCCCGTGAGCTGTCAACGGCAGCAACCTGGACCATGTTCGCAACCATGGAGGGAAGCGCCGAAACCTGAAGGTCAGGTGCGAGCATCGACGACTGGCGGTTCGCAGCTGAACGGTAGCAACCTGGACCGGGTTCGCAACCATGGAGGCAAGCGTCGAAACCTGAAGCAAGGTCAGGTGCGGTTACATGGGCAGCATCGACGACTGGCAGTTTGTATCTGATCGAACATCCACCGCCTGAGTTTGTGAATGAGATCCAAGCCTGCATGGCTTCTCGTGCGGGAGCTTCCACTCTTGTAGCTTCCGTTCCTTCCTGCAGCCCGTGACGACGAATGATTGAAGGTGCCAGCTTCAAAGGCAAAAAGCCGCCACAGTGCCTGCTGCAACCCACGTGGAGGGGCTTGCAGCCCTTCGTGCTGCAGCAAACGCTCCTTATTATCTAGCGGGATTTTCGTCTGGATAGCACATAAACAACAGCCGAGGTGGTGACGACCAAAACCTGCTTTTTGCCTCGAACGGCAAGACCAGCCTTGGACAGCAACTCCTGCGGGATGCGTTCAGCTTTTCGGATACATCTGGAGAAGCAATAAATGAGTGGCCTGCAAATCCTTGTTCCGCAAGGCCTTCAGCGATCTTTCTCGCTTCACAACCTTTCCAAATGATTCATGGACGGCGCACGCAAATCAAGAAACGTCCTCACCTCCTCTATTCGCTGCTTCTCCATGTCGGCATCTGCTGCCTTTCCAACAGATTACAAGTAAAAGTCTCACAAAAAAGAACGCCCTCGCCCAAAAACACATCCTCACCTCCCCTACTCGCTGGTTCTGCCCCATGTCGGCATCTGCAGCCTTTCCAACGGATTACAACTAAAAGTCCTACAAAAGAACAGAATGTCTTCGCCAAAAAACACATCCTCACCTCCTCTGCTTGCTGGTTCGCCGTGTGGGCGTCTGCAGCCTTTCCGACAAATTACAATCAAAAGGCTTGTACATCAAACAAGAATGCCCTCGCTTCTTGCCCTGGCTTCACCGCCTCTTCCGAGCCATCATCAATGGGATCATCACTGTCAAGGTCTATGGCCTTCCGCCCGAGCTTACCATGGCAACTTTTGTATTGTCTCTCTTCTGCCTTCTGCAAAACAACCGAGTAGCCACGCCCCACCTCCCCCGAAACAACAATCTTGCCCGCCCTCCCCTTCCAACCTTCCGCCACGTCTTCGGCTGTTTCAAAAGGTCTTGGGGTCGCAAGTCCTGTCAGCAACATTGGTTACTGAAAAGATTTGCAACCCGACACAAGCCCTCCTTGGACACTATCCACATGTACGTGAAGTGCTCGTGGGTCGCGCCACCTCCATCCACGGATCCTCAGAAGGACGTGCGCGTTAAACAAGAAACGTCCATCAATAAAGTTTGAAACATGAGGCCTGCGTTCAAAACGCAGATCGTCTTGCCGGCGGATTCCTCTCCCCACACTTGCATCGGCCGCAAAGGCCTGGAATCGAAGCATGAGTTGTCGGGTAACCTTGCCTACAGAACAAAACACGCCAGGCTGACTCCGTGCAGGTTCCGAACTGATAAAGCTGCATGTCATTGTCTTCCAAAACTTGAAGGATTTCGTCTTCGCCTTGGGCATGCATGTGCAATCTTGGACAAATCACCACAATCGCACTCATCAAGCTGTCTGCCTTCGTGCTGGCCAGGCACTTGGCGTTCGGCTGTTCAGAAAGGCAGTCTTGCACTGGTTGCTCAACTTCAGCTTGCTGTGAACGAAGGTCTGCAGGCTCTGCTCCTGCATCGGGTCTTGGACAACTACCAGATCGATCGTGCAGAGTCGGTCACGGCATGTTGAAAAATGAAGAAGCTTAATGTTGAGCAACCCGCGATCCTCTTGTTGCTTCCGTCTTGCGTCCGCTGGCCACCCATTGCATCGCTCTGCTGCACGCCACTCTGCCTTCTCATGGTCGGTCAGCGAGTGCAAGAGCAGGGTCCAAAAGAGGCATCGGCCGTCGGCAGGCACGTAAAGAAGGCGGATGTCCTGCAATTGCTGTTTGGTGATGGACTAGTGATGGATGCTTTATTGCGGATGCCTCGCTGTACACGTCGTTGAGATTCCATGGCTTCGCCATGTCACCCACCCAGCTGTGTCGTGAAGCACCACGAAATCTAATGCTTCATGTTGTCTGACATTCGGGGCGACGTTGGCAGCTGTGACTCGAGCCCAGCAGCCCCCCGACGTTTAACATGCTTGCAAAACTTGGCAAGGCCTGAAAGCAGTGAGCCCAAACCCGACACCAGCTCCACCCGGCACTTGTGCAGCGCCGAAAGCATGCACGCGGCTAAGAGAAATCCAATCCAGGGTTAAGACACGAACGGTGCAACGGTTAGGACAGAAATGTTGGCATGGTTAAGGCAAACCCTGTTTGTGGTTAGGACAAAACCTCTTCATGGTTAGGGATGTCTCTCGGACCTGCAGCCCGTGATCTTTCCCATTCGACCGAGGCCATCACCCAGACACCATCCATGGCTTGTTTGGCGCGTACCTCCACAGTTCGGGGGGGTGGCCGCGCCTGGTCCGAAACGTAGGTGCACAAGTTGGGCACGAGATGCACTGCACTCCGGTGTGAATTGCCGACAAGCTGCAGCTTGTTCCTGCAAAATTGAGGGGTGGTGTTGTAAAGGCGCTTCTGCTTGCGCCGATGGAGGACAATCCTAGCTAGGGAAACTTGGGCGCAGGGTGGAATCGTGAGGAACCAGATTGCTCCAGCAATGCGCGAGGCTACTGAAAGCCCATGAGATGCTGTGGGTCTTCGATCGGAAAGGTTGTCGTGAGACTGGAACATGTGCAGCTCAATACACATACCAATGTATCATTCTAGTAACTCGGACCACCCCGCACCCACGCATCCTCCCACCCACCCACCCGGTGCCGATGCGCCCTGCTGGGGAAAATTTCATGGACACAAAGACGGGAATGCGAAACCTCGAGCCCTTTGCAGGGATGGGATGATTTTGAAAGTCCCCCCACCCCACGTGTTGGCACGTCACGGCCTCTCCAAGCATTGATCCGATCGCGACCGCATGTCGCAAATACGTCGACTTCCTGGCTGGCGTAGAGACAGGCCAGGTGACTGAATGTATTCCGTGTTTGCTGCAAAGCTTAGTGTAATGAGGGATTCCAGGATGCCGATTCAACCGGCGTTCGCCTGGCGACTCCACTTGCACATGATGATTCCGTGGGAATTGTTGACCTGCCCAGCATGGAGGAGCCTCTGGTTGATGTCCAAGCTAAGCTGCGACGGTGACCTGCCTCCGTTGGAGTTGAGCGCCTGTCCCAGTCCCAAAGCCTCACATACCCAGCGGATGCCAAAGCTGCAAAAGCACTGCATTAACAGACACCACTGAGTGCTTGGCAAGAGAGTCTTGTCAGTAGCCAACAGCATGCATGGACGGGCGGGTTGGACATCAATGCATCGAACTGGGGATGCATTCACCTGCGACGCAGATGGCACGTTGTTTTGCTTCCACCTATTGTCAAAGTGTCAAGGTCCTGGAACTCCTGGTGCAACTCCAGGGTCGAACCACTCAGCTTCAAGATGCGGACCTAGGCTGGCACCCCGCTAGGCCACGAAAAGTTTGGTCTTGCTGTCCAGGGGAAGCTGCATGCACGTCTTCAGCTGCAGTGATGATCCATGGCATGGCGTCCACGAACTTGCCAGTCACCACTGGCACACAGCAGACCTCAAGAAATAGTGATCCACACGCATGAGCTAGCCTCGGCAAGCACGAGCCTTGAGCATTGCATGAATCGACTGCTTGCTGTAGTCCCAAATCGTGACGCTGCCTCCACTGAAGTATCGGCGGTTGAAAGGCTCAATGCAAACTGAAAACCCAGCCTGAACTCAGGGCTGTCAGGATGAAGGGCTGTGTGGCATGCAAATCGCAGTCCAGGATCTTTTCTTGCCTCAAGCACAGTGGTTCCAGGACAGACCCTCAAGTCATGCGCGCCTGAGAAGCCAGCATTCTATGCATAGAGAGCCTTACAACAAGGCCCGCCATAGCTTGTTGGCTTGTGCTGGAATTCCAACCTTGGGGAATCTTCGCAAAACCCGTGCCGCGCGAGGATCCTTCACATCCCTTGCACAGATTGCTGCACATGACTCCTGAGGCTGTGGATACGAGCGGACATCAGCCATAGCGGCCACGGCTACTGCAACAAACACTTCAGGGCAAGGATGAACATGTTATGACATGTCCCTGGCAGCAGCAGCTTTCCAACCAGTTTTAACGAGCCGGTTTCTGTGAAGCTTCGCCGCACGGGACTTAGGGATTGAGGTACGATCTTGCGAGGGTGCATAACATGTCTTGCCATGTAAGACTGTGACAGTATTGATTTTGCAGGTCTCCGCCCAAGTCATCCAAATCCCCTCATGTCTGGCCCCGGCTTTCGACCGGGCGACTCGAGGCTCAGCTGGCCATGGGGGCACATGTGAATCAATTGGCTCATCTGCGGCATCGCTGCGCACCTTCTTGGCTCGGCTGTTCGGCAGCGGCTCTACGATGTGCCCAGTGGAAGCAAGGCGGGCGGGCACCTGCACTGGAGTCACTCTAGCCTTGGGAAGCTCGTTCGAGCCGCATGGTTGGGGTGCTGGGGGGTTAGAAGGCAGGATGCAGCCCGTGTCAACGTGTGGAAGCGCCGCGAGACGAGTGAAATCAGACGCTTATAGTGCCAAAGGCGGGGCGGTCTCGCAAATGGTGGGGTGCCGTGCGCCTTTTGTGCAGACATTTAGGTGCAGGCTCGCGGTCCGGGCCGCTTGAAGGCCACTGGGAGTGCGCTATGTTTGGCAGACTCAGAGGCGGGAGCTCTAACACAGCCACATCTCACGTCAAGCCACTCCGTCGAAACCATGTCCAACATGACTTTATTGCTGGACTCGCAGCCATCGTTTTGAACTGCTTGTCTGAAGACAGCTGCTACGACTCTGAGGGACGGCGTTGGCAGGGCCCTCGGGCCATGCACACAAGAAGTCATGCCAGCAGCGAGCATGACGGCTGCCAAGAAGGGCATGACGGGCCCCCAGCCGGCGAGCATCAGGAGCATCAGGCCGAAACAAAACTACATAAAGCCTCAAAAACAAGGCCTTTCCGCGACAATCGCAGAAAAGTGCATATGTTCCGAGAATATGCGAGTTCTGACACCGCATCATTTCTCAAACAACGAATAGATGCTGACGGCTGGATACCTAGGACCATTTATTCGCCTGGTCTCTTAAACTTCTGAACTGTTTCATTGCAGTTTCAGTCTTCTTGAATCACCTAAACAATCGAAATTGTGGATTTAGGTGTTGGTGAAGTACTGATGAGAAAGCTTTCCTCGTATGCTTTACTGTGCAATTGGACCTTCCCAAACTTTATAAACCACAACATTGGCTTCCGAACATTCAAACATTCAGTTTACCTATATGACGGGTAGGGCCCGAAACCATTAAACCAACAGACGATTTCACCAGTCTGGTTGATCCTTCGAGTAGTTTGGTACCCAAACCACCATTCATTTCCTTCATGCACCATGTCATCAATTAACTTGATCCTATGAAGTGAGGAGAACTCATATGGGGTGATTATGCACCCGAAACCATTTCACCATATCGCCACTTCGCAAACTCACCAGTTCACCACTTAGTTTGGCCCTATGTCTAAACCCATAAACTGTTTCATCATTTCACCAATGAATTAGATTGGCCCAATGCTTGAAACCATAAACCCATTGAACCATTTCACCAATTAGTTTGGCCCCATGCAAAAGCCCATAAACCATTTCACCAGTCAGTTTGGCCCAAACTGACCCGTACACCATCTCACCAATTAGTTTGGCCCTAACAACTCAACCATTCACCAGTGGGCTTGGCCCTAACCCCTAAACCATTTCACCAATTGGTTTGGCCCTAACCCCTAAACCGTTTCACCAATAAGGTCTGACCATGTGGGGGAAATGAATGTTGCAATGGTGCAGTGGTGAATGTGTGCTTTTCTTTTCTGTGCGAGATCACGAAATTCGGGGGGGGTGGATATCACATTACCCCCATATATATATATATATATATATATATATGCTACCCCCCCCCCCCCCCCAGATACCAATAGAATTGTGTGTTTTGTGCTCTAAACCCTGCAATTCATGACACAAAGACACTCGAAGGTCTCAGATACTTCTAGTGCACGACCAGAAGGTGATTTTGTTCATCCCCTAGATCCCGCAATTCAAGACGCATGCATCCAGGAGGCGATTAATTCAGGGCCAGGCAAGCCTGACTACATTGATGCCATACACATACAGGATGCTTCAGCACATGATAGGTAGTAACGGTTTAATGGCACCCTCTGTATTACTTAGACGTGCCTCTAATCTATCACCCATCCTTCCTTATCACACGCTAATAATAGTACAACCCTAACACCAACAACTACCACTACTACTCCTCCTCGTGCTGCTGCTGCTACTACTGCTACTACCACATTACTACATGTTTAGTTAGGTCTATGTGTTTCAGCGTCATTCCACATCTTGCCCCAAATGTATCCAGGCGACCTTTTCCTAGACCATGTCTTCTCACCATATTGCTCCTAAATTTCGTATCATGATATTAAGTTAAATCCTGTCACATATCCAACTATTATCAAGATGGTCATAACAAACCATCACAAGAACCGTACTACGACTACAATCTACTACTGATACTACTACTACTACTACTACTGCTGCTACTAACTACTACTACTACTACTACTACTACTACTACTGCTACTACTACTACTACTACTACACTACTATCACTACTACTACAACTGCTACTACTACTACTACTACTACTACCACTACTAGTCAATCCATAGTATTAAACACGATTACACTGTACCTTTATCCTGTTATACTACTACCGCCATACCCTTATGCTAATCATCATATTCCTGCCACAATGCCTTAAGCAAGCTTTTCCATCCTATCATAAATCAAAAAGCTACCCATATTTATGGGTTTAGATGTAATTAAGGACACAGTATTAACATATCATTCACTTACATCAGTCTATCTCATTTACCTAACACACGTAAACAGTGCTCACTGAAGTAATCAAATATCACACTCATCACCCTAAACATAAAACGTCAGTGAGACTGGCAACCAGAAACAAAACACACCCTTCTACCATCTCCAACAAACACTTACAAAAATAAGGGTACATTAACTAATCATAGTGAACCCCAGAAAGTTGGAACATTGATTTAGGGTGATTAGTGTTTGATTTACTTTGCCTTTAGTATAAGGGCATTAGGATACTGATGTTTCAACTTTCTGGAGTTCACTGTAGAATAATTTACAATGAAACCAGATCTCAAGTTGACGGCAAAACAAAAATCTGCTGTAAGTCAAAGCTAACAGAGCGCGAGAAGAAAATCTGCAGTGCGTTTTGCGCGGGCGCCGAGCGCGTGACGGAAAGCTTCCAAAAGATCGTTTGATTGAGACAGTACAGTGGTTTCGCTGATTTTCTTGTAAAAGTGCTGTACTGTCCCAAAAAAACCAATCTATTTTTGCAAAAGTGCTGTACTGTCCCAAAAAAACCAAAAAAAACAATCTTCTACAGTCTTGGAGCAGCTTCCGTGTAGGGGCCTCCAATAGATTGGTTTTTTTTGGGACAGTACAGCACTTTTGCAAAAAAGGATTGGTTTTTTTGGGACAGTACAGCACTTTTGCAAGAAAAGCAACAAAAAACACTGTACTGTCCCAAAAAAACCAATCCTTTCTTGCAAAAGTGCTGTACTGCCCCAAAAAAACCAATCTATTGGAGGCCGCTACACGGCAGCTGCTCCAAGACTGTAGAAGATTGGTTTTTTGGTTTTTTTGGGACAGTACAGCACTTTTGCAAAAAAAGATTGGTTTTTTCGGGACAGCACAGCGCTTTTTCTAGTTTGCGGAGAAGTGTGATGCAGAGCGAGTACTCAAGTGCTGAGCATCCTGCTGCTATACTCAAAGTGGTGCAAGCGCACTCTAAGGCCACAAAACGTTCATGGAGAGTGTTGTCACAAGTCTCAGCCAAGAGGGTGCTCGAATGCTCTGTTTTTGTCTCATGGTGCTGCCTGCAGAAGGAAAACACAGGAATGTATTGGTAACTGGGGGGGGGTACCATATATATATATATATACATATACATATGTACATAATCAATATACTATAGATAACAGAGAGGCCAGCTCCTTCACCACCCAAGCATCGCGAGTCATCGCCCGCTTGGCAGCAAACCTGTAGGTTGGCATTAGGCAGCCGCTGTTTTCCAACTCGCCGCCCGGCAGTCAGATCTCACCCGAACCCCGCATGAGCAAGTTTTACTCACGCGCGGGTGTAGAAGCATGTGTGACCTCGAAGTATCGCAAGCGGCAAGTGTACATGCCAGGTTTAGCAAGGACCCGATCAGCGACCAAGCCACAATACGCATAGTCATCCTTCATGCAGCCACCTTGAGCACTTCAACTCCGACTAAGTGCGCAATGCATGCAACGAAATAGGCTTCTGCAAGAGATACTGCTGTCGTTAAGGCCTTGCGCCTGACATACTTGCACGGCGTGCACTTGCCATCCTTGGCAGCACATGTCCTTCTGCAATCTTCTGCATGGTATTGCTGGCCGGCTAGTTGGCGCATGTGATCGGACGGACTGCACGGCTGAACCGCTGTGAAACACTTCTATCAGGCCACTCTTCAACCATTGTAAACAGGCCTGCACCTCATATCTGTGTACACAGTTCGGCTGGCCAATCCCCACTCGATCCCACGCTGCAGGCCTCATCGCTCCAATGTGGCTGTGCTGAGATGTTCTGAGGCTTCTGCACACTTCGTGTGGGGCTCGGTGCTCGCCTCTGGAACGCGTGATTGGCTTCTTCTAAATTGTTGGCACTCTTATGAGGCTGCCTGCGGCAACAAAGCTTGGAGATCGGAACATACAAGTCCCGTTCAATACAGTGTAAGCCGAGGCCCATGCTGAATTCTGAATTCGCTGCTGGCCAGCCTCCCAGCAATCGAAGATGGAACCCGCACGACTCCAAACGATCTTCACCAGGATTACAATCCGAGCCTTGCTGTAGGCTTTAATTGCAATGTCCTTCATGACACCTGGCAATGACAATTAGGAAGAATATCCCGCTTCTCGAAGAGATCATGGTGGATGCCTACTTCACTTGGCGAGCATCCAACCCGTACTTGCGAGGCGGTGCTCGCTGGAAACACACTGCAACAAGAACACGCGCGCAAACAGTACAACGCAAGACCAGCAACACCCATAATTGTGCGGTTTAGCTGTGCCGAGAACCTACCTGTCTGAAAAGGATACCGTAACTGCATACAATGGAGGAACATGTTGCGTTGACTTGGCCCACGCGTCTCCACTCATCCTGACCATCCGATTGTGACCATGAAGCAGGTCAACTGGGTGACAGGTGTGTGCGTGCATGTTGAACAGGCCACTCTGAAGCCACATACAGCCAAGTGCCTAATCGACAGCACCAAAGCTTTCAGCAGCTGGCCGGTTGGGTTTCCTTTTTAGTGACGTTTAAGGGAATCAAGAATATCGAGAAGCCACGCCCCGAGCATAAACGCACCAACATGTGCCGACCATCACGAATGTCTGGAGAGGGCTGCAAGCAGAGCTGGGCGAAGAAGCTTACAGAAAACCTAACAAAGGTGGTGTCCAAGTTTAGTGTTTAGTTTGCTGGCAGTGCGCGCAGGGAGCCCTATCTCGTGGGCCAGTGGAACAAACCACATCTACCAATAAACCATCCCACCTATGATTTCTGCTTGGCACGCGAGACGTATGGCCATCCGAACACAAATCCGATGCCCGGAACATCCGAGAACTGTAAGACTATGGAAGCAATGAATCCCCCCTGCAGGAACAGAGTCGATGTGCAAACGTAAGCGTCGAAGCCTTTGGCTTTGATGCGCTCGCTCGCGGCTTCCTCGAAAGTGATCTGTCGATACTGGCAACGAGATCTCGGCAAATGCCTTCCAAACCAATAGCCTTCTCGCCGGCATGCGGCTGCAACACCTTGCGCAGCTGAGTAGTCTATATCAACACACAACAAAGATGGAGTCAGTCGCTTGAAAGTTAAGCGCCTGAAGCAAGCAGACGAAGCCAAACTTGCTGTGGCCTCATGCAAGATGCCACCCCAGCGAGCCGTCACCGAGCCTCACTGTCGGAAGCAGGGAAGTGGAAGTGATAACTTGAAAGTTTCCGTGGAGCACAACGAAGGGTCGTCAGGACTAACGTCAGGATAACGAGAGCTGGTACCAACGTTGAGCGTGTTTCACATAAGCAATCTGCCAGGACTTCGCTGGCAGACACGCATTGGCACGATGACAGCTTTTGCCGTCGTGTTGCAGTAATCGGGCCAATCGGGAGTGCACTTACACACACACACTGGGACAGGCAAGTGCTGGATGAACACTTCGATTGGCCAGGAAGCCGTGGACATGTCGCCGAAACCCCACGGAATGCAGGGTTCGCAATGTGAGCCAATTCAGATCTCCGGTTCCGTGGGCCTTAGGAACCGGAGATCTGAATTGGCTCATGTTGCAGTTGCTTCACGTCGGCCATGAGATCGCAAGACAGTACTATCTAACCACTCTTCATCGTTATGACTTTTGCCTGCACTGACGAGCAGACGCCGCCGCTACTAACTGCTACGAAACACGAGCTCTCACCACAGCTTTGGCATGCTATTGATTGCTTGTGCTGCTACGAACAGTCAACATACCATCATACTTGAGAAGCGCGGGCAGAGACGAATGCAGGAACAGAATGATAATCCACCTGACTTTGAAGGACGGCGTTGGAAGGGCCCTCGGAGCATCAAGAAAGGGCCATGCACACGAGTTTTTGCAGGGCGCAGGTCTGAACTTTCTCGGCCGGGCTCCACTTTCCCCCCCTGGAGGGAGGTCCTATCGGGATTCAGCAACAGGCCGCAGGTCTTGGGGCAGACTGTTCTCTCATGTTCGGTTGAAACGCTCCCCAAAACTGCCGTTTTGGAGAAGAGTCTGGGCACCCACGTGGCTCTTGCCAGCACAGGGCATGTAGGAATCTAGGCATCTCAGGAGAGCTTGGCACGCTTCGCCGCCGGCGTCAACAGCGACTCCAGCAAACCTCGTGGCTTTGGAGGGACATTGGGGCCACTATCTTTCTTCACTTCTCACCGTCCAGTCAAGAAGAAATCGAGAAGTCCTGCTTCTCGGCTCTCTGCCGCATCGAACTGTTCTTCGAAGCATTTATCTGCATGCAAGCCACTGACGGCATCCATGTCATCAGATTCCTGCACATGAGGATGCACGGATCAGTTGGTAAAGTCTAAAGGGCATCCACGCGAGTTCACGGTCAAAGCCCCGCAATTGCACGGCCTCTTGAGCTTAGCTTTTGCTGGTGACTGGTGGCACCACTAGTTTAAGAATCTTTTCCGTCGCCGGCTTGCTCACACAGTAATAGATGCGAGCTATGGTGTTGCGGCACCGGCGACAGTCCATCCATCCATTCATCCATCCATCCATCCGTCCACACTGGCAATACACTAATTACACTACATGAAGTTGCGTAGCATGTACTGCACATACATGCATGCATGCATACATGCAGTGACATGCATCAAATGATATGCCTAGAGACATGCTGCATGAGTTAAACATGCACCGATCATGCAAGCTGCGCAGGGCATTGATGTGCGCATTAGAGCACGAAGCTCACGGGCGGCCCCGAAATCAGCGCACGAAGAAGCTCGGCTCTTCTCCTGCCTCGCTCTTGGGCTTGGGCATGCCGCAGCGATTGCAGTTCTCCCGGCTGGCAAAGTTGACATTGGCACAGTGCGGGCACTTCCAATTCCCGTTCTCACCTCCGGCAGTCGGGCTTCTAAATTCTAGCTGTCCAGCTCCTCTAGCTTCCTTCATGGCTTTCATAGCTACTCGGGGCCTTCCACCGGCGCCTTGCCCTTCTGGCTTTTTCCGCCCTTGCCGGGGTAGCTGGGACCTGTCAGACAGTAGAAGTGCTTGCCTCCCCCGCTCCGAAGCGAAGCTTGACAGGGCAGGAGAAAAGGCTTTACAAGCTTCGTGGTCGTTACTCTCTTCTCTGAAACTGGCCTTGATCGGGCTTCGCAGCACCGCAACGATTGCAGGCCGTCCGATGGCCAAAGTTCACCTCACAGCGAGGAGAGCTGCAGCTTCGTCAAAAAGCACCCGAGCCCCGCTCTCAGGATGGAGCATTGTTGCAAGCAGGGCAGCGCCAATTGCCGTCCACTCCGACGACCGGGGCGCCGCCCTTCTGCCCCCCTTTGGCTGGCACGGCCTCCCAATCACCTGGATGGTATCCTTTGCCTGCTGGCGCCTCCCACTTACCTGGATGACCTCCTTTGCCCACCGGCGCCTCCCAATCACCCGGATGATATCCTTTGCCTGCTGGCGCATCCCAATGATGCGGGTGGTATCCTTTGCCTGCTGGGTCACCCGGATGGTATCCTTTGCCTGCTGGGTCACCCGGATGGTATCCTTTGCCTGCTGGGTCACCCGGATGGTATCCTTTGCCTGCTGGGTCACCCGGATGGTATCCTTTGCCTGCTGGGTCACCCGGATGGTATCCTTTGCCTGCTGGGTCACCCGGATGGTATCCTTTGCCTGCTGGCATGGCCTCCCAGTCGTCCCGGATGGTATCCTTTGCCTGCTGGCATCGCCTCCCAGTCACCCGGATGGTATCCTTTGCCAACTGGCGCAGCCTCCCAAGGTGCCGGGTGGTTGCCCATGGGTTCCCAACTGTTGGGATGGTATCCTTTGGGCGCCTGCCCTTTCCCTTCTGCATGCTCCCAGGACCGCTTCCTGCCGCTCGCCCAGCTCTCCGTCGGATCCTGCTCGCTCCTGGGCGTGCCGCAGCGGTTGCATGTGTCTCGGAAGCCAAAATTGACGTTGCCGCAGTTGCTGCACTTCCAATTGCCATCCACCCCTGGGATGGGAGCTCCTTTCTTGGGCTGAGCCCCGTCGCTCGGACCCGGCGCGAAGGGCCCCGGGGGCGGCCGCGATGCTGACTTTGGAGCCGCAGTCGTCCCTAGATGCAGCTCAGCTTTCGGAAAGCCGCACCTGTTGCAGACGTCACGGGAGCCGAAGTTCACGTTGTTGCATGCAGGGCATTGCCAGTTGCCGTCCACGCCAACCACGGGGGGACCCTTCTTCCCGGACCCTCCTTTACCAGCTGGGTATTGAGGGGCGGCGCGTGGTGCGCCGCAGCCTCAGCCGCTGAGCACCAAGTAGACTCAAGATCCCTCGCGATGTGGAAAAGCCAAGCAACGGTTGCATGACTCACGCGACGCAAAGTTCACGTTGTTGCACCTCACGTGAGACGAAACTCTGTGCCCACACCCCGCCGGACTCCCGGCGGACCCCTCTGCTGGGCAGAAGCTGTGAGTTGTGAGTCCGAGTCTGAGTCGCCAGCGCCTGGCCTCGGTCGAAACACAAACTCCCCCCCCAAACACACACAAATAGAGAGCTTTAGGTATTATAGAACAATGTATCGGGATTTTGTCGGAACTAGGAAGAACGCACAGGGTAACAGAAGAGGCAGCAAAGGAGGACTAAGCACGCCCTGTATCTAGGCGAAGCCAAGCAGCAGAGCCAGTTTCCATTGACGCCTGCCACAGGTGCTGGCATGGCGTGAGCTCCCCGCCAGGCTCGATAGTACAAGTCAGAGCATCCAATTCTTGGCTTCGGTTCTCTGACATGCACGCTCTACGGGTGTAGTCTTAGTCTTAAAGAAACTTGTCTGCTCTGTCCCGTCTTCGGCATGGCATCTGCTAACCTCCGCAGTGAGCCTCGGGGTGCTGAGTGCTGGCACCATGCCGCTGAGGGCAGAATGCAGTTTTGGCACATGCAGTGGCCCCGCAGCCGCCTTTTTTATCTGTCGCAAGGCGGGATCTGGGTCTACTCGGCTCCCACTCAGGCGAATGGCCCGGTGAAGCGGTGAATCTCACGCATGCTGCGGCTCAAAAGCTTTGTACACCTTCCTGCGTAGCGGCGTAGCACGCTTCGGAGACAGAACAAAATCAAGGGAAGTTGGGCCGCGCGCGGCCATCTGAAGAGGGCCCCCCCTGCTGTGCATTTTGCAAAGCACTGAAGCTGACCAAGCTTACAGTGGATGAATTAGAGTGCCAAAGCTGTATGCACTTGTCTTGTGAGCTGGAAAAGAAACTCGCCAACCGGCCTGTCAGTGTTCCTAGCCTTGCAAAGCCACCGTAGTGTCAAGTGGCTTCTGCGCGATGATCTGCCAGCTCGTGGTAAAAAGCCCTAGCTTGTCACCCTCCACGAAGGCCTCTCCATCCTTTGTGAGCCGATCGAAGAGAGTCTCGAAATGTTTCGGGAGGAGCCCGATCTTGGCCATGCCTCGAAGAAGCACCCCGATACCCTCGAAGAAGACCCGCGCCTTCTCGATTAAAGCATACTGGCTTCCCGTCCTGCTCGCCTCCTCACTAGAGAGGATCAGAAATCCCGCCTCCTTTAAGGGCTCAATGAAGTCCGAAACCTTCGGTGTCCACACGGCCCCCAGCAAAGGCTTCACCTTCCTGAGGAGCTCTTGGTGTCTCACATCCGATGCATTGAAGTTTGGGAGCTGCACCCAGTCCAGGAAAGAGATCTTTGCACCGGGCCGTAGGACCCGGAACATCTCCCGGAAGAGCTTCAGAGGCTCAGCAGTGTAGGTGAGCACCTGCACCTGGGAAGAAGCAAGAGACGCACAGCTACTTGTCACACTGTAATGACCCGTGGTTCTTTTGTTGATTTCCGTTCGATGCCCATCTCACGCCTGGTACAAGGCATCGAAGCTCTCGTCTGCAAAAGGCAAGGGGTCGTTGAAATTCCCATGCACGAAGTTCAGCTGCCTGTCCAAGAGGCCGGTGACGCTGGCATAGTCCTGCAAATTCGGGTCCCTGGATCCCTGAGGAGTAGCTACAGTGCAGCTACATCTTTATATGGTATAATTATGGTGTGGTTATAGCTATACTGAAAAATAGTTCTGCCATAATTTCATTAAACTTGCGAAGGTTCAGGAGCGCCCTTCGTTGTCCTCTGCCATTCGGAGCTGGCTCTGGTCGATGTTCAGGCCGGTGACATGGGCCCCGGAGTGCCGGGCCACGTGGTGCGCGATGCGCCCTCGGCCACATCCCAGATCCAAGACCCGGGAACCGGGTGCCAGCTCAAGGCGATGGGACATGGACTCCTCCCAAAGCCACTGGTTCTCGAAGACACTGAGCGTCGGATCTAGAACCGGTGGGATGTACATCTTCTCCACCTCCCCCACGGCACAAAGGTGGTTCAGCACCTTGTAGTACTTCACTGTGTTCTCGACGTCATGGCTCCCGGACACGCGTTCCTGGTCGAACAACTCGTAGGAAGCCAGGAAGTCCTTCACGTCCTGGTCCGGCAGTGTGTAGATGGCCATCAAGGCACGGAGTGAGGTGGTGGCCCTGTACCAGAGTACTTGAGGGTTCAGATTCAAGCCCCGGAACTTTCCGAACGCAACTGTCATCATCACAGGTACGGTCACTGCGGCCGCAAGCAGCCGCATGGTGCCAGGAAGGACAGCTCTTGACTTCGCTGTCGCTTTGCTTGAGTTTAAAACGCTCCGCAAGCACCTGTTGAAGAATGCCAAATCAACGCCGACAAGATGCTCGTCAGACTCTACTGCACATACCTGTGAATCGCCAACCCAACAAATTCAAAGGTTGTTCATGGCGAGAACTACGAGTCTGGACATTCGGTGTCAAGCATGTTTGGCTGCGTCAGGCATGTTCCAAGAAACTTGAAAGCAGCATGTCTTCGACCTAGAGTCAGGGAACATCGACGAAGCTATCAGCAAGCCAGTCTTGCGGACAGGTGACGAAAGCACGCGGTGCCACGGTATCAGGGCAAGCGCGGAGACGATGTGGTTCACAAACCGCGGGAAAGTACAGTATACTTCTTCAAGCCACGGTGAATCCGGAAAAAGCCACGACACAAAGCATTCCCTCCCTCCCACTATCTCCCAGTCGCTTCTTTGGTTTATATAGTCTGAGTCTATGGTCAAGCGAAGTGTCTCCTAAGCTGGCCGGGTGCTACGACTGCATAAAGCAGCTAACGCGTCTGAGCTGATCTGCAACTTCCGGCAAGCGGGCCCGGTCAGCACGGGAAATCGAAGCCAACGGGACTAGCCACGAGGGCTTAGCTGCAGGAATGGTGTCTTGCCGCACAGAGCCTCTTTTTGAGCACGCGCTCGGTCGGACGCCGCTGGGCCTGGCAATAAAAGTCTTTGTGTCCATCCAAACGAATGGCGATGGCATCGCGCCACATGGGGTGAGACTGATCCACACGGCTGCAGGATCTGGCTGTGGCAAAGAAAGTCTTGCGAAAGGTGAGCACAAGCAGACGATCCTCGCAGCTTCCGGGATCCTATGCGATCTCCTCAGGCGCCGCATCCTTGCATGTACACACCCAAATCCACGTGAGGCCCAATGAGTCTCTGAGTCGCAATGCAAGGCGTGGAGCACCCGTTACGGATAATCTCATGGCACTGCGAAAGGCACAGCCTCGTTCGGCTTCGCTTTCCCTCCTCGCCCGCGAGGCCGCCTTGGTCGAAACGAAGACCGAAACTGACACTGCGGTGCTCTGCGACGAGCCGCCTCCGCCGACGGCGTCGCGGTTCGGCAGGCCCCTCCACCTCCTCCATGCGGATGACAGGTGCAATGATCACTGCCATATGATGGTGGGTGATGCGATGAGACGCCTGGGAGACCGGGATAACATGCACTCCATTTCCGAACATCTACTGTTCGGCTCAAGGCTTAACCCCGCAAGCTTGATATCACTCATTTACAATGCTTCTTCCTCTCGCTTCCTCAACTCTGTATCTACAACAACTACTACGACAACGACCTCCAAAACTAAGTAGCAGCAGCACCCGACCAGCGGCAGGACTGCCAAACACTATAGTCACCATGCTCCTCATCCTGCAGCTCTCTTAATTTTTGCCGTCACGAGGACGACCACGACCACGACTACTGCTACAGTTACTGCTGTCGCCGACGGTTTGTCACGTCTGCTACTCCTCCCCCTGCTGCTGCTCCTGTTGTTGTGCTTGATGTCCTAAGGACGAGAACGAGTTTGATGACACGGACGATGATGGCCATGGCTGCTCGCCTTTCGGAAATCTCGATCCCGAGAATCGTTCTTGCCGCCCTTCGAGATTGTTGTTACCGCTATCTATCTTGCAAAAAGCAGCCGCCCGGACTCGCCTGGTCATCCGAGGCCTCTTCGAAGGTCACCTTTTGCGGCTCCATCTCAATGTCTGCACGGGCTCGCCTTGCAAAAAGCTTCTGTGCTGTTGACTTTTGGGCTCTGCCTCTTGCCCGAGTGGCCGCCTGGTCTCTGCTTCCGTGGGCTTGCTGCTTTCGACCCAGGCCTCGCAGGCTCCAAAGGGCTCTGAGTTCCGGAATTTGGGGGCAGCCGCCATCTCAAATAGCTCGAAATCCATGCTGCACCTGAGCCCTGAAATCATACGGACCAGTATGATAACTACAATCTTGCGGTATGTTCGTTTTCAGTAAAGTATAACAATATCGTACAGTCATCTCAGGTTTGCTACTCTCACTCTCCCACCCTTGTTGTCCCCCTCCGCACCGGCTCGTTCGAGGGAGTCCGTTTGGCATCCGGGCTTGGCTTTCGCCCCCGCCCGCGTCGGCGCCGCCGACGCTTGGCTTGCACCTGAGATTAGGACTGCTCGGGCCTTGGGTTTGGAGAGTTCAGGGTCTCCAAGGAATCGGAGGGGTTAGGAAATTGTCACGACGAATCCGATGCAGGGAAAAAACCACTTGTGGGAGAGAAGCCCTGCATCCCGGAAACAAAGCGGTAGAGTACAGGAG